AGCAATTCATTTGAGTTAGTGGGATACTCAGATTCTGACTTTGCCGGATGCAAAGTTGACCGGAAAAGTACATCTGGTACTTGTCAATTCATTGGTGGAAATCTTGTTTCTTGGTTCAGTAAGAAACAAAACTCCATTTCTACATCAACAGCAGAAGCAGAGTACATTGCTGCTGGTAGTTGTTGTGCTCAGATTTTGTGGCTAAAGCAACAATTACTGGACTATGGAGTCAAGACAAAGGAAGTGACAATCTTTTGTGACAATCAAAGTGCTATAGCCATCTCTCAAAACCCAGTGCATCATTCTCGCACTAAGCACATTGATGTCAAGCATCACTTCATCAGAGATCATGTGGAAAAGAAAGATATCAAAATCGAGTATATCTCAACTGAAGAACAACTGGCGGATATCTTCACAAAACCACTAAGTGAAGCCAAGTTTTCCGATTTGCTTCACAAAATTGGTCTAATTCAATTAGACTGAGTGCGGTACACGTGGCAGTCCACTTTCCACGTCTGTCAATATAGTGGATAGGCACGTGGCCTTGGGAATAGTCAAAAACCCAATCACCACTAGCCGCATAAATCGCTCAAATAAAACCCAATCGCCACTATTCAGATCTAAACCACCCATTCAAAATTTTTCGTCGTCCTCTTCGCGAAAAACTCTCGAGAACCCTAGGTCGTTTCTCTCTCAAATTCTCACTCAAATTTCTGAGAAAATGAAGGTTGTCGGTGCAAATGTCCACTTCCAGAAGTTAGAAGTTAAGTGCTCGTCACCAACATTCTTCCAAAGCTATCTGGAAATGATAGCCGCTCAAGAACTCTCCGAATTTCTTCAAATGGAGATTCGCCTCAAATTCGAGGAAGAAGTTCTTGAATTCTACAGAAATGGAGAGGTCAAAACTGCTCATTCAAAGAAGAACCCACAGAGGACGTTTCCGGTCATCAAGTCCACTGTTGGAGGTACGAAAGTAAAGCTTTCGCAGAAAAAATTGGGAGAAAAGCTTCGCCTTCCCAATTCTGGAGTTGAAATCGGGAAATTTCCAGCCAAAAATCTGGACTGGAACATCATTGGAATCTCTGGGCAAATTCCTTCTGGCCCAGCGAAGAAAGCAGATCTAAACAACGATTACAAGTTGGTTTTGGAACTGGTCATCGCCTGCCTCGAATGTGGAAGTGGAGGTCATGCTGATGACATCACCCAGGAGAGAGCCTTCATCATCAACTCTCTCATTACCAAAACTAAGGTAAACTGGGCTGCACACTTTTTCAAATCCATTTCAAAACATCTAGGAAAGCACAATTAGAAGTATCTCTGTCAAGGTCTGTATATTGGACATATTTTGGAATCTATGGGCACTGCAGTTAAAGGGAAAAAGTGTGAAGCCAGATTCTGGCTATACTACTTATCCTCCAAAGGAGAAAACAGAGCTAGTGCTAGTGCCACTGCAGAGGAAAGCTCATCAGATAATGTCCCACTCATCCATATGGCAAAGACTGCCAAAAGGAAGCAAGTGGTGTCTCCCTCCATTAGTATTGAAGCACCACAGAACCTTGCTCTGGTTAGTGTGGAAGAAGCAGAAGAAGTCTCTGTGCAAGGAGAACTTCAAAGGAAGAAGAGGAAACTCTCCTCTCCCTCAACATCTGAATATGTCAACTCGGATAAGTTGAAGGAGAAGGAACCTGCTGAGGAAACCTCTGCCCAAAACCGGAGTCCTCAACAACTTGAAGAAGAAATCCCTCAAGTCCAAAGCCTTCCAACCCCCTCACCTCAACCTCAAATGGATGATGCTGATAACCAATTCTGGCAGCTCTACTATGATTGGAGAGCATGGAAAGTTGGAAATTCAACAGAGCAACTGATGGATTGGGACCAACAGCTGAAGAATGAGAAGATCATCAAGAAATGCTTAGGAATACCAGTCAACCATAGCTGTGAAGAAATCTTGGACGACTACTGGGCATGGCAAAGGAACCATGAAGACCTGCATCTGGAATACCTAGCCAACTCACCAAATTCAGAATTTGAAGTAGATGATGAAGATCCTTCAGTCTACAAACAAGTCTTCTCTAAAACCACAGAAGAACAGGTGGTTCTCACTTCTGAAGCACAAGCTGTTTTGGAAGCAACAGCTGAGGACTTCCAAACATTTACGGAAACCTCATCTGCCTTTGAAACGGAAATCTCACATGCTTCTGAAATGGTTCTGACTGAAGCTGTCAAAGAGAAGGCAACCTCTCCCCCACTAGAACAGAACCACAAAACAGAAGAAGAAGAAGAATTTCAGCAACTCGGTCAATCTCAAGTTTTTGAGATTCTTACAATTGCATGTGAGATCTCCAATCCTACTGAAATTGAGATCCCGGAGAAGTCAGCAAAAATTCCGGAACAGTCAGCTCTTCAAGAAACAATGGAGCAAGCTGTTGAAGCGCAAAGGAATTCTGGAGAAGCTGAAAAGGAAACTCAAATGGCAGAACTAGAGGTCTCTCAAACTCCAGTAGCCATTTTTGAAGAACAGAATGCAGCTGAAGAAAGAGACTCCCTCTCTAGGGATATATCAGATTTTGTGCTTGATGAAGCAGAAGGAGAGTCTGAAAGAACACTGAAGGTTACTGATGAAGAATATGTACAAGAAGATGCTGAATCTCTTCCAATGCAACTCTTCCAAAGAACACCATCCTCTCATCAGATCTCAAAGAAATAAGCAAATCAGTGCACAAGACTCTGAAGATTATCTCTCTACTAAGTAACACTGTGAGCAACACGATGGAAATATATGCCTCTGATAGTCAACTTCAATTCAAAGAGTTCAACAAAGTCAAAGAGCAAATAGCGAGTGTCACAGTTAGTCTACAAAAACAGATGTCCCTTCTCCAAATGGACATCAGATCAGCCCTAGCAGTAGCTTCTGCAAATCAGGTAGTGACCAAAGACTACTTGAAGGTGATCATTGAAAATCAAAAGGAAGCATACAAGCTGTTCAGACTTATTGGTGCAAATTCTGGGAACCGCAAGATGGAAGTAATTCTCCAACAACACAGCCCATCTCCAATACCACAGCTCCCTATTGCAGTTAAAGAAGGAGAAGCATCTTATATCCCTTATCATCTGAGCATGACAAATCTAATCCTTGAAGCACAGCAAAGAAATCCAGAAAACTCAGCACAGCATCTATCCAGCTCAGGACTGGATGGAACAGAATTTATAGGTACAGTTGTTGACCACTTCTCAAATGATGCTCAATCAGAAGAGAGACGTGAAAATTTAAGGCGCATCAAAGAACTGTGTGGGAACATGAAGGGCATCAGTGAGGTTGCCGGATCTTCAAAACGCAAGAAGAATTGAAGGTTCTTTTCATCAAACCAGGGGGAAAGTATGTGAAAACACTAATTTGCTTTGATGAAAACACCTTCCTGTTTAAACATTGCTTGATTGGTTTAAACAGTTAAACATTGCTTCAACAATTTTCTTAATTGTGCTTATTATGCTTGATTATGCTTTATCTCAAGTATGATTTTGAGAATTTGTTTTCTGAAGCGCATACATTCAGGGGGAATGAAATTCAGGGGGAACTTAACTAGTTTTCGGCTAATAAGTGTTTTTGGCTATGAATTATTGATGAGCTCTAAGCAACGGAAGTCGGATATCTCAGTTTTGGTACTAAAATTGGAAATCTCCGATTCAGGTACTTTACAAAATCTGCCTTCTTAAATTAAGCTCTAATCTTTAATTCATTTCCAACTAGCTCTAAAAGTACTGGTCCTTAGGATTTTTATAGTGTACAGGACTTTGGAAAAATAGTACCACTTTTCTTTTAAAAATAAAATTCATATTTGTTTTGGTACTACCTCGTCCTAAGTAGAAATTAGAACTATAGGGAATGAAAAATGATAGTTTTATTTTGGGCCGTGAGAACCCAATAGGAATAATTTCCCTCTAGTACATAGCTTTATTTTCTTTTTGGGCCACTCTTTTGGGCTTAGCCAAACTAAAACAGTTACGTTTCTCAAACCAAACGAAACCGATTTTCTAATTAGAACAGTTTCAATTCCTTGGAAATCGGTAAAAGATTCTTTCAACTTTTCAGTAGTCAACTTCTTGGAAGTTGAAACTCCTTTACTCTCACCGTTCCAACTACTCTCTTAAAGGAACCCGTGAACCTCCTTCTCCCCTATTTAAATCAAGACATTCCAATCCATTTCCATCACAAACAATTCTTTCAACTTGAAAAGTCTTCAATTCACTGTCTGAGAAAAACACCAAGAAAATTATCCTCAATGGAGAAATTTTTCTTTCTCACCCTCATAGACGGCAATGGAGAAAAGCCTAGTGAGAAGAAAAGTAATCTAAAGTTTATGGTGCAATTCTCGGCAGTAGAGAAAGTTTATGGTGTAATTCTCGTATTTTTCAGGATTATACCATACACTTTCTCTGGAACAACACTCTCTCCATTTTCGTCTCATCTAATTTTTTCTCTCTTTTTCGTTCTTCAAATTTTAATTTTTGAGTAGTCGCCGCACTCTTCTTACAAATTTTTTAAATTTTTTGAGCTGCCTCTTATAAAATATTTTATAAGATTTCTTATAAAATATTGTCTTCTGCTTGATTAGTGACCTCATATTAATATTTTAGGGCCTTGTAAGCGGGATTGCAAGTTTATTCCCAAAGGCAGAGCATAGGATGTGTGTGAGACACTTATATACCAATTATAGAAATCACTTCAAGGGGACAGAGTTAAAAGACTTACTCTAAGATTGTGCCAGGGCTTCTTATCCAGCTAGGTTGTTGGGGTGCTTAAAAGTTCTTGAAGAGAAATGTCCAGAGGCAAGGAAGTGGTTGAAAGCAAGGCCAACGAGGAACTGGTCTAGGGTAGAATAGTTCAACACTTTCCCCAAATGTGACATGTTAACAAATAACTTGTGTGAGTCCTTCAACAAGTACATATTAGATGCAAGAGAAAAATTCATTCTTATCATGCTGGAGATGATTCGGACTAA